CTCTTGGGCTGCACCTTTTTCACCTTCTTCAGCTTCAGCTTGATTTTACTCACCACAAGGAAGTGGTCTGAACCCACATCTGCACCTCTGTGGGAGCGAATGTCTAGCAATGACGAGCGCCACCTTGTGTTGGCACAGATGTAGTCCAGTTTGTTCCGGGTCCCGCCACCAGGTGAAACCCAGGTCATTTTGTGGATCCGCTTGTGCTCAAAAAAGGTGTTGCCAAGGCTGAGGCCATTGGTACTTGCTAGCATCAACAGTCTCTCCCTGTTGTCGTTCGTGGAACATGCAGACCCATGTGATCCAACTGTGGCGATAAGGCCTCTTCTGTCACTATCCAGTTTTCCGTTGAAGTCTCCAATCAGCATCTTGATGTCATAACTGGGGATCTCCTCAAGCACGGTCTGGAGCAGGTTGTAGTCTTTATCTTATCTATATATGTCTTTATCTTCCTCTGAGTCAACTTCGGTTGGGGCATAGACTTGCACGATGGTTACTTTGGCATATCTGGTGTAGAGCCTTGCTGTGATAATCCGTTCATTCACCGGCTTCCATCTAACCAATGCTTGTGCACTGCTGGAGAGAATGATGCCGACCCCATGGGAATGGTGGTCTTGCTTCAGAAAAAACAGAAAAGTTGCTCCATCAACCATGAGGCGCCCCTGCCCCATACACCTCATTTCACTAATGCCTAAGATGTCTTGACAATAGTCCCTCATATTCTTCAGCACCTGGTCCATGCGACAAGACTGGAACATTGTGCGCACATTCCAGGTGCCTACTCTGGTGTTGGTCTTGGTTCTGAAAATCGCGGTCATCAGGGGTCTGGCTTCCTGCTGCATTTCACCCGGCCCCGTCATGGATTCATCCAAAGATGTGCCGTCTCTTCTTCGCTGTGATTTACCGGAATGGCTTCCTCTCGTCGTTTCTGTAACAGGTTTTTGTTTTACAGGGTGAGGTTGTTAACCTCACGCCCAACCCCCAACATGGAGGACCAGTTGGATGCAGTTTTACGTCATACCCAGGACATGAGTGATAATAAATATGAAAGATTATAAACTATTGGATTGATGTTGATTTGATTCCTATTCAAGGTGTTATAATACAACGTTCAATGCTAAAAACGCTTCTAATAATGATATAACACTTTAATTGTTAAAATAAGCTTTTTTCACATTTTCACCGAGTGGTGTGCCGCAGGATTTTTTCAATGAAAGAAATGTGCCTTGGCTTGTAAAATATTTAAAAAAACACTGCCACAATGGATGGCTGAAGCCACCACAGAGTCATAGAACTCTAATTGCCCCACGGGGATAAATAAAGTTTTCTGAATAGAAGGTCTTAAGGAGTGACCCCTGAACCCCAAAAGACATCAGTTTTCTGAGTCGGAAGAACCTTCCTGATATGAGCCTCCATGTTGGTAGACCGGCCTAGTTTATTTTTGAGAACACGCAGGTACTTGTAGGAGGTCACCCTCTTTATGTCCGTACCCTGGATATTCATCAGTGCAGGTGAGGACTGCACTGATAAACAACCACCTCCCTATGGTCATACCGTGAAAAACAGGGGTGCCCAACCAGTCAATCGTGATTCACTGGTAGCCCGTGAACTGGTCCCAAGGGAACGCCCTCCACTGAAACACAAAACTAAATCAGAACCAGTAACCCCCCAGCTCCCTCTATCAACAGACGCCGCCTGGTGCATCGTCGTCAGTCCACAACCCGTCAACAGTACCAGGCTGAGCACACCGTCTGAGGAGGTTGAACGGCTGATGAGCGGTAGTTGAAGGTTCCTCGCTGGGGTAGGTCATGAGCCCCCCCAGAAACCCCGGGAGCTCATGCTCCAAAGAAAGAATGCTGGTGTTAGAACTAGAGTCGGCTTGTCATGATCTGACCCGGGAGGAGCTGGAAGGTTTTCCCTTAATTGGACAGTGGACTCAAGTTTGTCCTTACATGTTCTCCTCTCTTTATATCTCTCATGTGTTTCCTTTTTTTTTTTGCTGTTTGTTCTGTCCACATTTGTCTCCGTAGTCCTTCCTGACCTTTTCTTTGTCTTGGCTTTTCTTAGAAGATGATGCGGGATAGTCGAGATCTGGAGCGCACCCAACCTCAGCTGAATTGAAACAACGTGCATTGCAGAACATATTTCAATTTACTAGGATCGGTTTGTCCCAAGCGATGTCTGGGTTGTGTAATTTTAGCCATGGTCACCCTAACACTTTGGGAGCCACTTAAGATGGCATGATAAAGAACCTCCTCTGATCTACAGCCCATTTACTTCTTTGAGCTTTTCAATTGGACAACTTAACATTCCCACAACACAGGGATCAACAAAACAGTCATCGGCACTGGAATCAATGAGACACATAACCTTGTTCTTGTTGTAGTCACTGGCTTGGCTCAATTCTGAGTGTGCCGTACTCACATAGTTCCTCTGGCCTGGAACTTATGGGCATGGTGCCCGACTTACAGTTTCCCAGTTGAGTTGACTGGCGGGGTTGGCGTGATGGTCTTGTCAGGCATGTGGACAGTCTGTGACCCAGCTGGCCACAGTAGAAGCAGGCCCTTGACTGCAAATCCTTGGGGTGCAGCCGACTTCCACCTAGTTGCATAGGTTCCTTCGTCAGCGTAGCAAGTCCTGCGGTTGGTCAACGTTCTTAGTTCATGGGGTCAGTGTCCTCATCGAGAGATCTCCAACCGCCGGTGTTTAGTGTCTCTGAAGTCGCTCGGGTGTGCTCCAGGTGGCGTTTCCGGTACCCTCCCTCATGCGGTTGTCCAATCGTATGGCCACTGTAATGAGGTCCTCCAAGTTTGTGGTGTCGTCATGTACGAGCAAATAATCTTTAACGGAGATACTTGGCCCACGGCGAAGTTATCAAACCTGCTCTCAATGGCCAGGATGCAAAACCACATGGAAAAGTAAGCCACTGACTGCCTACCCTGCACACATTCCTGCTCTCCGGTCTCTCTATCTTGGACTAGTTTATGAAACACGCAGTGAAATTCAGCAATAAAATCTGGAAATGAGGACTGGAGTGCCATTCGCATGTTGCTCACTGCCATAGCCCAACTGGCAGCCTGGCCAGACATCCATCCATCCATCCATCTTCTACTGCATATCCGGAGTCGGGTCGCTGGGGCAATAGCTTAAGCAGGGAAGCCCAGAGGTCCCTCTCCCCAGCCACTTGTTCCAGCTCTTCCCAGGGAATCCCAAGGCGTTCCCAGGCCAGCTGGGAGACACAGTCTCTCCAGCATGTCCTGAGTCGTCCCCGGGGCCCCCTGCTGGCGGGACATGCCCGGAACACCTCACGAGGGAGGCGTCCAGGAGGCATCCGAATCTGATGCCCGAGCCACCTCATCTGGCTCCTCTCGACGTGAAGGAGAAGAGGCTCAACTTTGAGCCCCTTTGACCGAGCTTCTCACCTTATCTGTAAGGGAGAGCCTGGACACCCTGTGGAGGACACTCATTTCGGCCGCTTGTATCTGGGATCTCGTTCCTTCGGTCACGTGACCATAGGTGAGGGTTGCAACGTAGATCGACCGGTAAATTGAGAGCTTCGCCTTTTGGCTCAGTTCCGTCTTTACCATGACAGGCCAATACAAAGTCCGCATCACAGCAGATGCTGCACTGATCCACCTGTCGATCTCCCGCTCCCTGCTGCCCTCAGTCATGTACAAGACCCCAAGATACTTAAACTACACCTGACCAGGCAAAAGACTCAAAATAAAAGCAACCTTGGAACTATCCTGTGAATATATGGAAGGTTGATGTTAAAAAATCAGGGTACAGTGCTGAATAACTTGATCCAGTGTTTCTTAACCTTGTTAGAAGTACCAAACGCAACCGGTTCACATGCAGATTCACCGAACCCTTAGTGAAAAATAAAAATATGATTCAAGAAGTGTTCCTTCAGGTTTGCCGGTGCGAGACAAGAGTTGCTCAACTTGGCATGGCAAATCAAGCAGATAGGACGCTGAGTACCATCAAGTTCCGTGATGCATGTGAATCAATGTTGTACATATTCGTCCGACCACTTTCTTTTTTTGCTCGACGTGGCATATGTTAAAACATTAAAAAATAAATAAGCACACGACATACTATCATGACAGTCAGACGTTGATGACTGAGCAAACTAAATTTCCTGCAGCACTAATTGGACAAGCAATGTAATGTGATCATCTGCAGCTAGTGATAGCCAAGCGTGTGTATCATAACTAAATGACATGTTGAGTCGAGTGTGTCTTAAACTGCATGGCAGAGTCTCCGTCGAACTCCTGAGACTGATTCACCAAACCCATGGGGTTCGATCAAACCCAGGTTAAGAACCATTGAGTTGATCACAGTTTTTGGGTTATCTGTCATAACGTCAGCTGGGTTCCAGGGGAACGACTGAGGGTGGATACATCCCGACGGCAGTTGTTCGGGGACCCGAGAGCGACGCCCCTCGGATACCCAAATGCTCGACCCGAGTCCCTAAATCCTCAAACCACTGGGCCAGCAAGATGACTGCGTTACAGCGCTCGGCAAGAGCGTTTTTCTGCTGTCCCACCAGTCATCTTTGGCTGGCCAAAACTTTCAGAATCGTATCCAAGTCTACGGGATCTATGGTCAAATTATTCTGTCAGGTTACGGTTTTACCCAGAAAGAATAGGATCCCACAAAGTAGACAAAGATAAAGAAATAACAAGAGACTTATCAAAAAACGCGATGCCGACAATGTACAACAAAAGCCACTGCAAACAGAGAGCCGGAAAAAAAACTCCAAACAAACAAAAAAACACTTGCAACCGGCAAAGAGGATAAATCTCAAAGGTGTCTTTCTTGAAGCTGTTACCAGTGAAGAGGCAACAGCTCCCATTCCCTTTAAACAAGGTCTCCAGCCATGAGTAGAGATTTGTGCATTAGTATTGGTGACAAGTAGTTTTCGTACATTGACATTTATTATTATTATTATTATTATTATTATTATTATTATTATTATTATTATTATTATCGTTTACCTTTGTGCTGGTCGCTGAAGTAGCTGAAATAAGCCGGGCATGGTATTGTGACCACTTCTCCCACACTGGCCAAGGGCCAACAGGCGACAATGTCCCACATGCCTTGGCAACCTAGCACACAGACAAAACAAATATAAATCAATCACACAATAATGAATAACACACAAACATATCGCCACAATATGAACATCAATTGTCAAATAAAAAACGGCTAAACTTAGCTACCACTGCAAATATTGCCCTCACAAGGTTTTTCCATTTCAATCATTACAACAACAACTTTATGGAGGCTTTTATCTTAGACGAGACCTTCGTTTTCAGTAAATTGTAGCACACTACTGGAAATCACAGAAATATTGATCCAAAGAGAAGAGTATGACTGAATACAAGCAGGCTTGCACTAACCATGGCAACAAAACAACTACTGAGACTTTGGTGTCTGCAGGAGTCCTTGAAAGACAATATAAATTGCTCCATTCTGAATTGTGTCCTTTTAAAACGCAGCTATCACGTCATGTTAGCATTCATATCCATATGTCTACTACGAGTGAATTTATTCAGTGAAGAGGCCTTCACCCGCCACTTATCTGACCTTGATTTGTACACATCGTTGATCTGTTTCCAAGAAATGAAGTGCCGTCTGAGGTTACCTCTCCGACGTGCTAAGTGTATGGTTTTTGAGTGAAAACATACTTGCACGGCCCTGCACTTATGCAACACGTTATAAATAGATGCTGTCACAGCATATCTGCAATGATATAGCACCTGATGTATTTTTCTCTCTGTGATGAGACCGATATTGATTGGACTGTGTGTATGGTATTTTATTGTAAAAACTAAAACCCACAATAGTTTGGCAACCCCTGCACTATCTAAGGCTGGTAGCCCAAAATGAGTCCACTTTTATTGTGCCGCAAATTGCCAGGGACAATTTTGAATGTTCCATTAACCTATGGTGCATGTTTTTGGAATGTGGGAGGAAACCAGAGTACCCGGAGAAAACACACGCAGGCGTGGGGAGAACATGCAAATTTCATCTGTGCTGTATGTTGCACATACATCACATTTGACAATAAAGTTGTACTTGATACTTGATACTTGATAGAAAGCCGGGATCGAACCCACGACCTCTGCACTGTGAGGTCAATGCTTTAACCAGTTAAACACCGTGCTGCTTGCTGGAGTTAACAATTAGTTTATCATGACCTTATGACACTAGTGCCTACACTCAAGATCATATGAACCAGTAAGTAATTACTGGCAGGAGATTAAAAAAATAAAATAAAAATTCCGATGTGCGTGGGTCACTTCGGTTCTCCACCAATCACGAGTCACACACTCAGACACAGGGTTATTGCTTCCGAGTTAGGAGTTGAGGATAGGGGTTAGGATTTTAAAATGAGGTTTTAGGGATTTATGATTAGGGTTAGACGCTAAATTAGGGTTTTGGGATTATAATTTAGGGCAAGGTTGGGGTTTGTGGAAAATGGTTTGGGGCTGGGGTTAGGAGGAGAATTAAGGCTCATGTTTTGGGTTGAGCACTAGGATTTAAGGTTAGGATTTCAGGTTAGTGATTGTTTTTATATTTTTAGAGGTTGAAGTGGATAAGAGTAGGAATGTGCATGTGAATTTTGGTTTTAGTTTTCAGCGCCTTCCCGGGAATTGAGGATCACAGAAAAAAATAGTCTGTGAGTCTTTGTTTGAAAAGACCAGCATCTCAACGTTGTACCTGCTCTCCTTTTCATTTTGTCAAGAAAGAGCATGTTGCCCGTATACGCGCATGGAACTTTATGCTAATGTGTTTGCTGCTTGCATTGCGACAAGCCACCCGATATAATATTGGGTGCCAGGCACCACAAGAATATCAGATAATGTTTTCGAGTTGGAGACACCACACTTTTATTAGTATTAGTCAAACTCTATGAAACCTGTTTGTCATTAAACTATACTGCGCGCCTATGGAGAGGAAGACGTTACGGTCATATAAGCCTAAATATTCGGGGCCTTCTTCTAATCTTTGCAGATAATGGTACCACTAAATATTAGCATGTTTTGCATTTGCAGCGCAAAATAGTTATTCATATAGTCAGAAGCCAAGGACATTTTCACATTTTATCACAACGTTATGGTACAATAGCAGCAGCTGCAGCTCCAGCCGAAGGTATGATGTTCCTAAAAAAATCTGTGTCTGTTAAAATTAAGAAATAATCTAAAATTTGTTTTTTTCTTTTGTAATAATAATAATAATAATAATAATAATAATAATAATTCATGTTTGTTTGGATTTAAAGGAGCGACTTAGAGGTGTTTTGGAATTGGTAAAGTGGAGTGCCATCATCTTCCCAAAATGAGAAATTTCCCTGAAGCTGCAATTCATGGAAAGGGTTGGAAATGGTGTGAATTTAATTATAATAGCTTCATCTTGTGGGGGCAGAGCCAGCTTGCCACTAGTCAAGACAGATCAGGTTTCACATTGGTTAGACCGCAAGATTATTGCTTTCATGGTTTTTGCTTACATTATCACAACATACTGTTTCAGCCAAAATGTTTCAGTGACAGACGTTTTTTGGACCAAAACTGAATATGCACTTTGGACATTCCTAGTTTTTGCTTCACAGACCTGATGTGACATTGCTAGATGTGCTGTTCTCGCAGCGCTCCCTCTCCAACTCGATCTCATTCACAATATCACACATCTGCAGAGACAACACCTGTGGGAGAGAAGAGCATATAGTTAAAGCAGGGATGCAGTAGGCTCCTGCAACTTGATGCAGCAAAAGGGGTGACTTCAGGTCTGAGGTGTTTTACCCAGTGACTCATAAAAAAGTAAATTAATAAATGTGTTGTAGCTCCTCTTAAGTGAAATTGATAGGCCCAAGGTGGGGTGCAGCATCCCAGCGCTCCGAAGTGGCTGGATGGAATGTCTGCTCCACCATTGAAAAAATGAGGCGATAGTAAGTAATTCGGTGAAGTCACTGTGATTCAAAATTTCAATCTCAGTTGCATGATTTAGCAACTAGCCAATCAAAAGGCACACAATTCACACTGAAAAAAAAAATCATAAAGGAAAACAAGTTTCGGGGTTTTAAACAAAAGGAACCCAGCTGCTTTATAAGTGTTTATTCTCAGCCACGTCCTCTCTCAGTAGCAACCCACATTTTCCTTGACTGACAATTTCCTTGACTGACAATTGATCTTTTATAGTATAATATATATATTTCTGCTTGGCTCTCGACGAAGGCGGACGCTTTTTTGCCCTGCTCCTGCTCCTT